AGTGATAGTTACGAGAAAGGGTTCTAGGATGATCGTAAAGCCCGTAACGTTAGCGTCAGTCTGAGGCGCGTACATCTTCCTGTCGAATCGTCACTCATTCCGTTAGATTCAGCTGGAAAAGCGGCCTCACCGGTTGGCATTCGCTCGCTTCGTCAAATATAGTAACGTCCCAACATTGTTAGGATTTTCGCCGCCGATTGCTCCGGCCTTCCCGTCGAATTGACGGCCTGATACTTTTATACCTCCTGATAGAGACCGCTTTATGGCTTTGGATAACGGGCCTGCTTCTAGCGGGGATGCGCGGGAAGTCGTGGCGGAGCTCCGCCAACGGCTGCTAGACCGCGCGCTGCCCATCGAGCAGCGCATCCGCGCGCTATTCTCTTTGCGCAACCTTAAAGGGGATACACCGCAACAGGCTCTTATAGAAGGTACGTGAATCCGCTTATAGCGTGAATTCGCTCTGCCCATCGAGCAGCGCATCCGCGCGCTCTTCTCTTTGCGCAGTCTCCGGGGGTTGCACCGCAACAAGCTCTAATCGATGGTATGCGGTGTGCCAATAACGGGGACGCACTGCACCGCATAGCACCGCGCTTTCTCTCCTTCAGCGCGATCGTAGAGACACGGTGCCATGCCTACCGCTCCAGTCAGAGTTTAGCTTTGTCAAAAGAGGCCACGCATTCGGTTCACTATAAGGAACCCCGATAACATGACTGGTGCTGGCAGCGGGAGCTGAATCGTCTTAGAATGCGAAGGAAACGGGTCAACGGTTCAGTGCCATGGCTGCCGGTTCAGTGCGGTATAAGGCACAAGGTCTGGTGCTGGTGCTGGTCTCGTGGCCAGTGTGTCAAGGTCAAAACACCTGAACCATTTAATCTCCCTGAATGCCTCGGAAGTTGCGGACAGAGTTAGATCCCCGGATAAGGTTTTAGGGTTCAGGGTTTGCCAGGGTTCAGGGTTTTTCAGGGTTTGGGGACTGGGGAAATGTGGTGGTGAGCCCTCTGGTAGAGCAGTCAGATCGCGCCCCTAGATAGGACTTGAAGGTTCTGGGTTTAGGACTAGGGTTTGAATTTCGTGTTCTTCTGCAAAGACCAACGCTGAGTTACAGTCTCGCGTCTTCAGAGAGCACATTTCGCTCATGGGCTGGCACATTTCGCTCATGGGCTGGCACATTTCGCTCATGGGCTGGCACATTTCGCTCATGGGCTGGCACATTTCGCACATTTCACTGCTGGCATTGTGTTCCCTTCCCAGCTTTGCAGTTACATCTTGCGATTCTACCAGTTCATTTTTCCTGCCCGACCTCTTACCAACTGTTAGTTACTCCTGCCCGCACTTTTGTTTCCCTGCCCAGCCATGGAGGACAAGTCGGTGCTATTGGCCCATGAGGCAGCATTCGCTCTCGGGCAGATGGGAGATGTTTTCTCGGTGCCCGCACTCACAAGAGTGCTTGAGGACCCTCGTACCACCCCATCGTTCGACACGAGGTGGGATGAAACACAAGGTGTGGCAAGGTAGGATGAAACCCAAGGTGTGGCAAGGTGAGATGAAACCCAAGGTGTGGCAAGGTGAGATGAAACCCAAGGTGTGGCAAGGTGAGATGAAACCCAAGGTGTGGCAAGGTGAGATGAAACCCAAGGTGTGGCAAGGTGAGATGAAACCCAAGGTGTGGCAAGGTGAGATGAAACCCAAGGTGTGGCAAGGTGAGATGAAACCCAAAGGTGGGACAAGGTGAGTCTAAACCCGAGGTGGGACAAACCCAAGGTGTACAAGGTGAGATGAAACCCAAGGTGTACAAGGTGAGATGAAACTGCTCTCTGCCCCTCCCTGTTCACCTTACAATGCCCATAACAGAGCAGAATAGCTCGCAGCAGAGCAGAAGCACCATAGCAGGCACCGCACCACAGGATAGGCCTCTTCCCCTCTCTCCATTGTAAAGTGCCAAGTACTGTGTCTTTCCCACAGGCGTTTGATTCCATTCACAAGCTCAAATCCACCACTTTGCACGTCTTTGTACCGCACTCCCCTTACTGCAGGCAGCAGAGGCTCTAGGCGCCATAGGAGAGGCCTCCTCCCTCCCTCTGCTCCAAACATATCTTGCCGACCCTGCACCCGAGGTTCGGGAGACGTGCGAGCTGGCAGTTCGGCGGCTACAGGACACCCTAGCTGCGGCAGAGGAAGGGAGAGAGGGGGAGCGGAAGGGGGAGGGGGAAACCGAAGGGGCAAAGGGGGAGGGGGGGGAGAGGGGGAGGGGAAACGGTTCATGTCAGTTGACCCTGCGGGGAGTGCACCTAAGAATGCGAGCACAGAAGAACTCAGGTAGTGACACAGACGCGTGTTTTTCCACTTAGGCCGAAGACAGCTGTCGGGCGACATGGTCCTCTGACCCCTGTCTAGTCACATAACCCTGCACAATGCACATCGTGTGTGCTGTGCTGCTGCTCGTTGTCCTCCTCTCTCTTCTCTCCCTGCTTTTTGGTCGCCTCTCTTGGCCCAAGCCGGCTATGTTGCACTCGGACCCCTGAGATTCTCCTCTGGCCCAAGTCACACGAGATGCTCCTCTGACCCAAGTCACACGAGATGCTCCTCTGACCCAAGTCACACGAGATGCTCCTCTGACCCAAGTCACACGATTTGCCTCCAGTTCCATCTTCCTGCACAATGCACATCGTGTGTTTCCAGGAAGCTGCTTCTCCAGGAAGATGCCAACATGTACGATCGCTATGGCGCTCTCTTCGCTCTGCGGGACAAAGCAGCTGCGACTAGCAATGCTGGTGATGCTGCGGCTGGTGCTGGTGGTGGTGGTGATTCTGGTGGTGCTGGTGCTGCTGGTGCTGGTGGTGGTGGCGATTCTGGTGGTGCTGGTGCTGCTGGTGCTGGTGGTGGTGGCGATTCTGGTGGTGCTGGTGGGAGCAGCGGTGCTTCATTTGCAAGTGAAGCAGTAACTGCAATTGTTGAGGCGCTTGAGACCTGCACCAGTGCTCTGCTGCGCCATGAGGTGGGATGTCACGCTGAGGTGTGGCACGTGTTCCGGTGTTATGGTGCAAGGTTTTGTTAAGTTGAGGTGCTTGAGACCCGCACCAGCACTCTGCTGCGGCATGAGGTGCCGTTAATGTCAATATTACGAATCACATGTATGACATGCTGTGGCATGATGCCCGGCGTGTCGAAACTACTTGGCATGCTTTTACTGTTATATTTGCTGCATGTACGCCACCGAAACAGACCACTGTATCATCCCCAACCCCTCCCCAACCCACCCCCCCGGTCGTGCCATCAGATAGCCTATGTCTTGGGCCAGCTACAGAACAAAACTGCCGCCCAGGCGCTTGTTAGGGCGCTACAAGACACCTCATGCCACGCCATGGTTCGGCACGAAGCTGCTGTGGCGCTAGGCTCTGTAGCAGGTATGGAAACCCATGCTTAAGGTAAGTATGAATACCTTGGGAGTATGCTACATTGAGCAATGGACGGTGCAATGTGTAACACATTAATTGGAACGTTTGTGCGAGGACACACCATTGTCCCATTTCATAAAGTAATGATTTAAAAACGCTGTGAACTAGGGGGTTAATGTAAGCTGCTATCATGCTGTTCTTTTATGCCCCTTGCAGATCCATTGACACTGCAGCTTCTAAGAGAGTTCCAGAAGGATCCCGACCCGATTGTAGCAGAGAGCTGCGACGTGGCACTTGACCTGATGCGGTTTGAACTACAACCAGATGCTTTTCAGGTATTTCTTGACCAGCCAGTGTACTTTCCTTAATTTCATTGTGTATGGTTCTGTTTTCTCACCCTTTAATCATCCTCCCCTGCTGCTAATTCATTCCCTTTCCTTTTCTCTCAGTATGCAGACCTTTTGGAGTAGGCAACTTACTACTTTAATTATAACGACATTGTAAGGTTACCCGACCTACAACACAGACTACCTAGACCTATTCTTATAACTTCCACCACGTTTGCGCCCATGCTGTTGCCGTGCTCATTGCTATGATCGTGTTGTGTGGAGGTCTGCTACAAAGTGTGCATAGTAAGCATGTGAGTGAAACGTGGTATCATCTATTGAAGATATGCAACATTCACAAGATAACATTTTCCTAGGCACGAGATGACACGTCAGGGTGTACTGAAGGTTCTGGTTTAGGCGCCATCTCATCTCACCCAGTCTGCTGCACTCCCTTCTGTTGCCGTCCGTCCAGGCAAGCGGCACTGTACAACGTTCACTGATTGGTGGAAAATGTTTTCCAGGTGTTGACGAACCGTCAGGTCAGGGGTACGGTGGCGGCGAGCAAAAATGAGCGTGCGTGAAAATGTCTCACGTGGCGGTTCGTATGGAAACAGATTGATGGCCCCGATGGGAAAGGATACGTTCGGAATGCCGAAGGCCCCTGTCGCACCAGAGTTGTAGGTTCGGAATGCAAGGTTTCATACCTTAGGTCAAGCCTGAATATCGAACCTCAGGCTCGATTTCCAGATGGGTGCTACAAGACTTGCTAAGATACAGCACGTTTCTACATGGTGATAAGCGGTATCCCTTCACCCAGCACCGCCTCCTTGCTGCCACTGAGACCTTTTCCATACTTGACTTTGCCCCGGATAACGAACCGTGTTTAGCTCGAACTTGCTGCTTTGGCAGGGTTCCCTCGACTGAGGCTTCGCGAGTGTTGCCTGTTGGGTTTGGTTCGGAGCCAAGAAGTTGCCGTGATTTGCAAGCAGGCGATTCGCGGATCAGGCGAGGCATGATTTTTCCCTCCCAGCCCGTGGGGTGTGTGGGACACCAGCGTTCGATAAGGGTCTGTTCGAATGGTCACCACCCTGCACCGCACAATGTAGGACTGAAACACGCAGTACCGTGTTCAGCCTGTTTGAAAAGTCCGTTTGAACGGCATCTTGCAGCTGATGTCCCGCACAAAACCACTGGGCAAATGAAGAGCATCGGTTCAGCAGCAGATAGTTCTAGCCTGCCTTAGCCGGCCCGCTTAGTGAACCCCAGAAGACTCCCTTCTTCCTCAAGCTGGAGTTTTTATAGGAGGGTCGCTACCAAACAGGCTTCAACTTCTTGCTAACTACAGTAATCGTTAGCGCTCTAGTCGCTGTTTTTCCGACATCGTCCTTCCTGATCTCCCCCAGTTTTTTCCGGAAAAAGAGCTTCCGTCTGTCTTCCTCAGTCGTTTTTTGTTCCAAGCTTCGTGTCGTTCGGAAACGGAGCGTTACATAGGATTTTCACAACGCTTGGACCATGCCATTACCGCGCTCTTGACGCGCCGCGACTTGCCATCCCTTCGCACCGTGCGAGTGACTCGTTATTAGCTGTTTTTCCTAGCCATGGTTAGCTGGAACGCGACGGTTACCTATACCCGGTCATTCTAGCTGTACTAATACCTTCGTATACTTCATTCGCAAGCGACGCGGCCTAACCGAGCAAGCCGTGTCGCATTTTCGTAGCAGCGTCATGGACCGGCGCTTCGCGTCGCTCGCGAATCTCGCGAATTTCGCGAATCGAGTTCCCCAGGGACGACGCATCTCTTTCGCGCAAGTCGCCGTGTTGATCGCTGCTGCAATTCTGAATCTTGGGCCAATCCAGTCCGTTAGTGCCGCGACGGACCCAGCTCAAGGTAATTCCAAATCCTTCTACTACTATCCCAACAGTCCAACCCCCAAAATACGTAGTATAACGGGCAGTTTATGTTGCCCCAGCCCGCTACCGACTGGGTTAAAAGGGCATGTTGTTGTGGTGGGTAGCGCACCCATTACCTCCCAGGACGGACCTGTAGCCCTCCCACACTCAACTGTAGGACGATCCCAGTGCCCCACCAACAGTTTAACGGGGTATGTACGTTTGGTTCCCGTACACTACATGAGGGCGATATTTTTGAGGCGCCTCAAAAATAGGCTCATCACGCGGGGTATGTACGTTTGGTTCGCGTACAGTGCATGAGGGCGAACAAATTCGCAAGAGTAACGGGGATCGAAACTCAGTGCACTTCGACAATCAGCTAGTAACGTTTCTTGCCTAGCCGCGGAATTCCTCCGACGAAATTGTATGCCGACGGCGTAGCTCACACTGGATGATCCAGTGCACATACATTTCCAAGCAAAGCAACCGCGTGAGGAGTCTATTTTTGAGGCGCCTCAAAAAATTGATCCAGTGTACATACATTTCCAAGCAAAGCAACCGCGATGTAATAATCTCCATTCTGACAGCTCAATCTGCCGTGTATTGCCGTACTAGCTCCGATGCATTCTCCGATAGTAGCTTTCGCGTTGCTGACCCCGGCTGTATTTTGAGTCGACTCAAAATACGCGTTTACTGGACCCCGGCTCCATCCGTTTCCCCGCCTTCCAAAACCATCGCCTCACTCGGGGCTCTTTCACTTCCGTTCCTACGGCCCTTCGCTTTCCACTATTTCGAAAAGTTTGAGAGCTTTCGAAATGTCGCAGCGCGTCAGTCTTGGCCCCCTCCCTCCCGTGCTGTCCGCTGCCTCCTACGCCGACGCCTTTTCCCAAATGCCGGGCTGAACGCTCCTTCCCTCTCCTTCCCTCTCGTCCCTCTCTCTTCCCCTCTCTCCCTCCAACCCCCTTCCCACCCCCTTCCCGCCCCTCTTTCCTCCCCTCTTTCCTCCCCTCTTTCCTCCCCTCTTTCCTCCCCTCTTTCCTCCCCTCTTCCTCCCCTCTTTCCTCCCCTCTTTCCTCCCCTCTTTCCTCCCCTCTGTTCCGCCTCCTCCTCCCAAGGCATCACGCTCCCTCCCTTTCGTCGCTCCCTCCCTTTCGTCGCTCCCTCCCTTTCGTCGCTCCCTCCCTCTCTTCCCCTCTCCTTCCCCACCCCATCCTTCCACCAGTGGCCACCCTTCGCACCATAGCTCCAGCTTTTTGGCTCCCCCAACTCGTTCTTCAATGCCTGGACTGGGGACGACCCACTTCTCCTTGTTCCCGACCAACACCCAGCTCCCTCCCCCTTCCCCCCTTTCCTCTACCCCCTCCACCAGTGGCCACCCTTCGCACCATAGCGTCAGCTTTCCTTCCCCCAACTCGTTTTCAATGCCTCGGTGGGGGACGACACCTGTGCGGCCAGCAGCAGCGGTGCCGTTTGAGTCGACTCAAAACCTCTCCCCAACCCCCTCTTCCTCTTCCTCCCCCTACCTTCCACCAGTGGCTACCCTTCGCGCCATAGCTGCAGCTTTTGGCTCCTCTGGCTCGTTTTTCAAATGCCTGGACTGGCGACAACCCCTGTGCTGTCAGCAGCAGCAGCGGTGTCTCTTTTGAGTAGGCTAAAAAATCCCCTTCCCCCCTTCCTCTCCCTCCCCCTTCCTTCCACCAGTGGCCACCCTTCGCGCCATAGCGTCAGCCTTTCCTTCCTCCAACTCGTTCTTCAATGCCTGGAGTGGAGACGACCCCTGTGCTGCCAGCAGCGGCTGGCCTGGGGTCAGCTGCGAGAACAACGCACAGGCAGCCGTGTGGTTACATCGCTGTGAGTGGTTACAACGTTACATTCGCTGCGAGTGGTCACGGCGCTAGAGTGCTCCATCACTGTTAGTGCAAGTGAATGGGGACGACGCCTGTGCGGCCAGCAGCAGCAGCAGTGGCTACTACAGTTGGCTGGGGGTGAGCTGCGAGAGCAACGGCACAGGCAGCCATGTGGGCACATCGCTGTGAGTGGTGGTAGTGGTGGCGGTAGTGGTGGCGGTAGTGGTGGCGGTAGTAGTAGTGGTGGTGGTGGTGGTGGTGGTGGGTGTGGGTGTGGTGGTGTGGTGGTGGGCGGCGGCGCGGCGGCGGCGGCGGCGGCGGCGGTGGCGGTGGCGGTGGCGGTGGCGGTGGCGGTGGCGGTGGTGGTGGTGTGGTGGTGGTGGTGGTGGGTGCACCCCTTCACATGGTCACCTCTCTGTCACGAAGCCTCTCTGTGGTCTTCCTGTATTTTTTGCCGCGAAGTTGCCACCTCTAGCAGCACCCGTCCATCCTGCGTAACCCACCTGTAACCCACCCTTGACTTGAACAGCAGGTGCTTGTAAGGCCCGTCTGAGGCCCGTCTGAGGCCCGTCTGAGGCCCGTCTGAGGCCCTTTTGAGGCCCCTCAAAAGGGCGCACTGCTTTCCATCCCACCCTCCTTATATCTTCCCTCCCTTCCCGTCCAGCCTCGTTCCCCCCTCATCTCCCCCCTCATCTCTCCCCTCATCTCCCCCCTCATCTTCCCCCCTCATCTCTCCCCACACTTCTCCCCCTCATCTCAACCCATCTCAACTCATCTCCTGCCTCGGCTCATCCCCTTTCTCTCCTCCCGCCTCATTCCTCCTCATCTTTGCTTGGCAGAACTCTTCAAGGGCTGGGGCTTTCCGGGCAGCTTCCTCCTGCTCTCTTTGAGCTCACCACCCTTACAGCCCTGTACGGCTCATTGGCTCAATGCCCCACATGGCGTAGCATATCTGCCCTCATTACCTAACGAACCAGTCAGCTCTGCAGCATGCACCACCCCTTCACATCACATCCCTGTGTGACTTTTGAGTCGACTCAAAAGCCATCTCAATGCCCCTACCTAGCAAACCAGTCAGCTCTGCAGCATGCACCACCCCTTCCCATCACATCCCTGTGTGACACTATGTTGTCGTCGAAACGAAGCAGCCAGCTTTGCAGCGTGTCCTTCTGAGTCGACTCAACAGATTTGCAGCGTGTCCTTTTGAGTCGACTCAAAAGCTTTGCAGCGTGTGTGTACCACCCGCACCCGAACATCCATGTAATACTGTACGGCTCAATGCCCTTACCTTACAAATCAGCCGGCTTTGCTCTGTGACCCTTTTTGAGGCGCCTCAAAAATAGACTCCTCAGTCGGCTTTGCTCTGTGACCCTTTATAAGCGTCTCCACTTTTGTGCCGGGAAGT